TATCTTTGCAAGGTGCTAGTGAACATATATAGAGAGGTGTAGTCTTGGCTAGACCGATTGTTTTAATTCCGCATTTATATCGGTTAGCCGACGCGATTAATTTTAGAAAAGACTATTCACCCCCCCTCTAGTCCACCATCTCGACCTTACATCGACAAGGTGCTAGAATGAGCGACACAATCACCCTATGCATAAGAATTCTTCTAACCACTTAAGGTCTTCATAGTAAAGGGATGGACCATGGAGGGTCCGGTGAAGTCAGAGTTCGAGAGGGCAGGAAGAAGAGGAACATAGCCGAATAGTTGAGTTGCTCTCGCCGGGGCTGGATAGGCATTTTATAGTCGGCCTGAAAGGATGAATCCAAGTGTCCATGAAGCAATGATGTTCTCGTAAAAGTTGTGAAGCATGGGCTCATGAGCTGACATAGGCGGCGACAAACAGTAGACCCCAAATCAAGATTCTCTGCTCGTGACTGCAAACCCATCGAAGATCAAGACATGATAATTTTGGAATAAAATTACTTTTATCCCAAAATTGGGGGGCATGTGTTTACACCAGAATTTGGAAGAAGGATTTCAGAGGCTCGAGAGCTCCTAGAGTCATGTCAGCAAGGGATCAATTGCGTGTAGATCGAAACCAGCTGATTCGGATGCAGCACTAGAATCGGCTTTCTTCAGATAGCGCCAGCAGATAACGATAGAGGCTATGATCGACGCTGGGACGAGACATGTTGGACTCTACAAAAAGGGAAAGATTAGAGTCTAAGTTATCTTAAATTAGGAATGTTTTTGTTTTATGCCAAAGATTGTAACAAATTGTGCTCAAGTAGGATTCATGTCTAGGCTCTGGGTATAAATATCAAACCCCGGCTATTGTAAAAACATCAATCAATCAAATACAAGTCAATTACTTTTTTCGGCTCCGGTCACCCCTTAGGAGTAGGAGTAGAGTAGATCTTGGTGAGTTCTTCAGCGAGTACGGCTGCATCGATCCGGTCGACCTCCACTGCTTGTCTGTAAGTACCGTCATGGTTTATACCTCTGTTCGTATGGCTGCATCGATCCGGTCGACTCCCACTGCAACTCTGGTATAGGCTAGTTATCGTCTATTGCCTAGTTCAAGTATGGCCTGTGTGATTCTGCCTCACACCCCACTGCTTGAACTAGACCAAGGTCAAGTTATCGGCTCTACTTTTGAATGGCAGTCTCTGGTAGATTCATTAAGTTACCAATATTGCTTATTGCTTTCATTGTTTATCTAATTACAGCAATATCACTCTGTCCGATTGAGATTGATCTGGATCGGCCTTATATCTTATTTAACTCATCGTTTGCCAATCTAAAACTGATCTAATCTACATCTTAAACGATGAGTTATGTTTTTATCGGCTGTTTTATATCAATCTTAATCGTGCATAGCGTGCGGTTAAGGCATGTTCGATCTTGAGTAGATCTATTGGTTAGCGAGAACCGCTCCATGGCCCGTTATCATGGTCTGTGGGATTCTGCCTCTCACCCCACTGTTAGCACCGTGGAGTGGGGATCGTTAGTTGATAGATCCGTTCCTGAGAAGACATGACCTTAACTGTGCGCTATGCCTGAATCGACTGTTTAGCCGATATCGAGCGCTCTTATGAACACTTCATATTACGAGATCATTGAAGTAGAGATAAGTTGAAAGATGCGTTAGCCCCATGATCTTATTATTGTATTACGGCCTGCATGATTCTGCCTCATGCCCCACTGATATTAGTAATAAGTTAGGGTCGTCGAGTCTATTGTTGTTTCTACGGCCTGCATGATTCTGCCTCATGCCCCACTGGTCATGGCGATAGATGAGATCTAACATGTTCATTAGATTTATCTTTAATAGATGGTTAAGTGGTGTTGAATTGTTTCTTTACATAAACAGGGGTTCGGTTACTTATAATCATTGGCTCAATATAAACTGACCATCATTGATATCTTATTGCCATTGATTAATGTTTGTTTAAATGATATTGATTCTGAATGATAACCGATTCTTTTTATACAACCCCATAAGGTTTAACCGATTTATTCTTATGAATATGCTGGAATCGACTATTTAGTCGATCTCCTCTCATATCGGCTCTCAGAGCCGCACATTCGGGAATGTCTGGCAATACCGGCATGTTCCGTCCTTAATTACTGATAAACTTTCTCTCATTGTCAATTGTAGGATCAAATTGACTAACACGTCTTGAGAGGATTACGAAGGATCGACTACCCCTGCGCTGAAGCTAGGCGGATCTGCTCCATCGAGCGGACCCTTCCGGCTGCTACGTGTGTCCTCGGTATGGGACGAAATTCTGTGTCAACAAGATTATAACTAGTCCAACCACAAATGCACAATTCATTTCAGACCTTGTTTAAATTTAGGGTGTAAAGTTTTGGAGTGTCACATTATGTATTATATGGGGTGTCGCATGGGATGTTCGGATACTAATAAAAAAAATTACAGAATTCATCAGTAAACCGCGACACGAATTTATTAAGCCTAATTAGCCTGTCATTAGCACATATGTACTGTAGCACTATGTTGTCAAATCTTGAACCAATTAGGCTTAAAAGATTCGTCTCGTAAAGTAGTCGTAACCTGTACAATTAGTTATTTTTTAGTCTATATTTAATACTAAATTCGATGTGAAACCAGGCCTTCGCAAAGATCTTTTCTTTTTCATTCATTTTGGTTTGAAGAAGATCGATACTGTTTGAGTGAGCGTAACACGAGGAGTACTTTGCAGATGAGCGTCAGTTACTACATTCCATGGTACAGGAAAAACAATGTCACGATGGCAGGCACTGAACCCATTGTGGTGTTCGATTCGATGCGTGTTCATCACTGCTCACTCAGTCTCGCGAGCCTCCGGACTGGAGCAGGAAGAAGACGGCGAGGCCGACGACGAGCCCCGACACGACGAGCGCCAGCGTCGGCGCCGGAGTAGCCACGCCGAAGTTCTGCACCAAAGGCAAGCGGCACTTTTCAAGTCAGCTCTGTGCGGTACACGCATGCATTGCAATGACCGCGCGGACTGCTGCTGTCAATGTTACCCGTACCTGGAGGAAGCCTTTGCCGGTGGCCACCTCGACGGCGATCGCGGAGGCGAAGCCGACCATGGCCGCGCGGCCCAGCCATACGTCCGGTCCGCCGCCACCGCTGCCCTGCTTCGCGCTCTGCTCGCACCTGATGGACAGCGACCTGCTGGCGGCCCTGCACGAGACGCGGCTGTTGCTGGAGCTGATGCGCTGTGCAGATGCTGCATCCGACACAATGCTTCTCAGAACACAAAGTAAATATACAGGACAGCCAACATTCAGTAGCCATGCCCATGCTCATCGTTCATAATGGTAGCCTTGATATAAGAATTCAAAGAACATATTTTTGCATCGAAAAATCTCAAGGATCAACAAATGAACAAACGATAACTGACAAGATCTAAAAAAATTCTACAACTACAACTAGCACGCACTCGATGCCCTCATGCTAATCCTAACCACAGAACGCCTGAATTGATTCTGCAGCTAGATTCACATCCACGCTGTTACGTAGCTAGCAAGATGGATCCAAAATCGAGCTGCAGACACGTACCGTGGCTGGACGACATGCCGCTGAACGACGGCGCCGTCGCGGCGGCGGCGGCCACATGAGACGAGCGGAGGACGGAGAAGAGCGCCATGAGACCGAACCGCTCGCCCTCTTCCTCCTCCTCCTCCTCTGCTCTCGAATTGAATGAATCCTCGTCGTCTTGCTCGCGTTTTTTGTCAGCTAAAGGGTAGTGGCAGCGCAGGAGCCAGGCGAAGTGAGTGGCCGTCGGCTGGCCGACGTGGCCGTCTGGAGCTGCAAGACACCCTTATCCGAGAAAAATTCCCCATTGCTTCACGTGGTGGGCTGGAGGAGCTGTCCAGGTAGCTTGTTGGGCCAGGCTTGAAAAGGCCCCGTTAGGAAACCGAGACTGGGCCCAAGGCCTGTAAAGAAGCCCAGATGATCATAGCCGGCCGAAAAGGCCTGTAAAGAAACCGATGCCGGCAGCCTGCATTTGACATTAGGATCTGTGAACTTAACATCTCCGTTACAATTTCTTCAGAGTTTCCCGGCTGTGCCAAAACTCATGATTTTGTTGGAAAGGAATTAGACTTTTTTTTTTATGATTTTTTGTTGGTCTGAAATGAAAACTCGTAGTCCGGCCACCGGAGATCTAGAAATCATTTAGAACCTGCGTGCTAGCTCTTCACGTTTCACTCAAAAGCCAGACTGGAAAGTATTGTTCGCTAATTTGCTATGAGAGAAAAACACTGTATCATGGCTGATAAGCCTGGCTGATAAGTTTAAGAGAACAGGTTTCACGTTGTGCTCCGATGTACTCCGTATATATGTAAGCGGTGAATAAGCAGCATGAGTTGCATTATAGACTAGATGTTTGGGTGAATCTCCATCCTGTTTTCTCACAGTCATTTTCTTCAGCTATTTTTATTCACTTTATAAGTTTAATTTTGTCCTAGTGGAAAACTTCGTTTTCTATCAATATAAAATCAGTACTACAGATACGATCTACGACTCGTAATAACGAGGCTAATTTCAACGTAGTCCATTCCTGGTCAGATCAGAAACAATAATTGCAACCTCCAGTCAGAGAATTCTAAAAAAAAAAGTATTTTTACTTGTTCATTGCGACAAATTTTCTTCTAAATATAATCTCGACTGGAATAACAGAGAGAATCTTCAACGGTCAACGGGTCAAAGTCCAACTCCTGCTTCAGGACAAATGGAGTGAGCCAATGAGTCCCAGCCCTCAACATTTTTCCACAAAATTTGATGGCCACCAAGAGACTTTTTTTGTGTCGTTGCCTTGTTGGCAGGACAAATTCACCACGAACATATCCAGAAAATTTTTACCACAATTTTTACATTATAAATAGAGGCTGACAGCCATGGAGATTCTGCAGTAGCCAAACCAGGGACCTGCAGCTGCCACGGCGAGGATGTGCGGGACCAAGAAGTCCGCAGCCTACTTCGCCCACGACCCGGCGCACCGGCTGCTCCCCGCTGCCAGCGATGGCGACGGCAACGATGACAGCGAGTTCACCTGCGGCGGGTGCCTGGTCGCCGGCGCCGGCCCGCGGTACCGGTGCGCGCACCCGGGGTGCGGCTTTACTATCCACGAGGCGTGCGCACGGCGCTTCCCGAGGACGCTCAAGTCCGCCGTGCACCCGCGGCACAGGCTTATGAGGCAGCGCGAGGCCGCCACCGCCGCGGGGGCCGACGGCGGCTGTGGGTGCGAGGTGTGCGGCGAGGGCGTGAAGGGCGCGTGCTACGCGTGCGGGGTCGCCGTGCACCCGCTGTGGGCGCGGATGCCGGCGTCGGCCCGCGGCCCCGCGCACCCGGGCGGCGGCCACGAGGCGTGGCTCGTCCGCGTCGCAGCGTCGCCGCCGGAGCCGGAGCTTGACGGGGACGGTAAGCAGAAGCAGGGGAAGCAGGCGGCGTCGACGGCGGCGGGGTGCGACGCCTGTGGGCAGCCCCTGGGCGCGTGGCGGTACCGGTGCGTGACGTGCGCCGCGGAGCTGCACCCGCGGTGCCTGGTGCCGGCGGCGGACCAGTGCCGTGGAGAAGGTGACGGCGACGGCAGGGGCGCGGAGTCCGTGGCGAGGAGCTGCTGCTGCACGACCTCACGCGCTGCATGGCCACGCTTGGCACCGCCCTCAACTACCGTGGCTACTACAATGGCTGACGCATCATCACTCTATGTACGTACGTACGTGCGTGCTTCGATGTATCATGTATTCATGCATACTCATGCTGTATACGTATCCGGTTTGTAAGGCGGCAAGTTTGGAAATTATGCTTAAATTTGAAAATTTGAATCTTTGGGGAGACGAACAACTTGATGATACTTCAAAAAATCGTGTAAAACTGATGTTGAAAATTTGTTCCGGTGGCGTCAGAGTGTTCTGGCACCTCAACAACTGGACCAGCCACGCAAGAGGGACTGAGAGAGAGAGAGAGAGAGAGAGAGAGAGAGGCATTGCTCCTTGGGCCTCGCTGAATTCTTCTGGCTTTCTCGGCTCCATAGCAAGGCCCATGTTTTTTTATTTGAGGGTAATGGAGCAAAGGCCATGTACAAGTAGAGATTCCCAATTGGGCTCTAATGACTGCCAGAACGTCGTACAATTGGGTAGCTAATTGGATCATATACTTTTAACTCCCCAATTGGGCTCTAATGATTGTATCTTTTAACTCCCCAGTTCAGCTCATGTTGGCCCAGAAGGAAAAAAAAAGTTTGGATCAAGAAAAATTGTTCATGTTCCTGCTTGCAAGGCAAATTGTTTTACAGAGAAGCAAAAAAAAAAAAAGGTTTCATTAGAGAGAGAAAAAACAAGTTCCTATACGAAAGAACTTTCATGGAGAAAGGGAAACAAATGTTCCATATAAGACTAAGAGAGAAAAAGTGTTCCAGTTTGGAGAAATGAGTAACAAAGACGTGGGGGGTGGTGGGGGGAAGAAGTGTACAAAGAAGGAAAAAATTCAAAGGAAAGAAATACAGTTTGTGAAGGAAAATATGTTCATAGAAGCCTAGAAATAGACATTACGAAATATGTTTTAGATTTATGAGGAATTCATTCAAACTTAAATGAAAAGTGTTCCATCTTGGGGGACCATTTTAGTGAAGGAGTTTGTGTACGGAGACAAAGCCGCAATTTAGCACTTTGGCCTTTGGGTTCTGCCTCTGAAAGAGTGCGCGGACGTAGTCATGCAGAGGCTGTGCCAAATAGATACTCTCGTTATCTATTATAATCAGTCGGTGTAAAATTACAATCGAAATCGTCAGAGTCAAGAAATAAACGATTTTATACGTTAAGGGAGGACAATCGAACGATTGTGAAAACTGAGTGAGCTGAAATGAAGGTATTTTTTTTCCTAGAAAATCGTAGCTCGAATCCACGCCCGGGTCGGGCCAAGTTGATCGATCGGACAGCCTATATATCCTCAGGCCGTGACAATGCCGTGCTGTCTGGTCCAAACAAATATGGAGAGCCGCCCATCCCGTCTTCCTCGTCCAGGTTCGCTCAAGGCACACACACACGCTTAACCTGCAGGCCAGGTGCCCATCCATGTGCATGTGGTGTGGCCGGTGTCGACGCAGATGGGACAACACAACAACACGGCGGCAGATGTTGATCCTCATGCCTGCTGATTATTATTATACCCATTTCACATACACAAGAGTAAATATATGATGATTAGTAGTTTAGTACATGCGCTTCTCCTTGTGCTTGTGGGCAACTGTTGGCACTGTGCACGCTTGTCTACCAGCTGCACATGACATCCATCCAGCGACACGAGTGGTCGGTCACCCCCTGCCGTGACTTTTCGTATTTTTTTTTCTATCTGAATTCTAGATAGAGTAGACGCTGGGAACGAAGGGGGGATGTCATCGTTTGTCAAATCCAACCCCCAACACCATTTGTGCGGTTTTGATTAATTGCTGATTAATTTCACGGATTTGCTAAGTGTAACAGAGGGGCCATTTAAACGCTTTGTTCTCTGATCTCGATCTGCGCCCACTCTTGTTTCATGTGCCTGCCGCTCGTGCCTCACCACTCCCACACGCGGGCCTAATAGCTGCAAGCATATGGCTATGGTAGGTCCCACGTCTAAAACAGACGAAACATTTAGGATTTATAGTTGAAACACCATTGCAACATGTGTAACATCTCGACCTACTTTTGAAACATCTAGATGTAACACTTGCAACATACGTGTACAAAAAAACAGATGAAACATTAGGGATAGACGCTTGCAACATACGTGTACAACCATTGCAACATATGCAACATTCCCGATGTATTTTTGCAACATCCGCATCAAACAATTAAAACATACATCTGAAACAACTAAAACACGTGAAACATAGGCTTGCAACATGTCTGAATTAAAAACGTCCACAAACACTTGAAACACAGCATCGCCGCGCGGCCATGACCTACCAGGTGGGCAACTGCGGTGGCGCAAGCCTCCTCTTCCTGCCGACGACGTGAGGTGGATGGGGGAGTAGGCACATGTGCAGGCCTCCCCTACTTCCCCTTCCGCGATGGGCAAGGTGGATCGGCGTGGCGATGGATGGTGGCGCTCCTGATCTTGTGCGGGCACGAGCTGTCGCTGCTCCGGTGGAGAAGGATGCGGTGGATTCGGCATGAGCTGTTGTTGCTATGGTGGAGAAGGCGATTGGCGAGCTAGAGAAGGCCACGGCTGGTTGGAAGCGCGGTGGAGACGGAGAAAGGCGGGCAGCCGTGAAACGCGATGGAGAGGGATCAAGGCGGGTGGCACGCTCAGGCATGTTGGAGATGCTGGCCGTCGGGCCCTTGGTTGCCGTGGAGAACGCCTGGGCGGCGCGGTTGCAGCGGAGCGCGCCCGCTCAAGCTGCGTTGATTTTTTCTGAAGAATGAAGACAACAGGCTACGGTTAGGAACTTATGGGCGAGAGGCTACGACTATTGAACTATCAGGCTGGTGTTGCGGGCCGCGAATAGAAATGTGGAGGATCGGAGTCGTCCCGGTAGCATTTCCGATAGGAAAATAGTTGAGCATTCGTCATCTAACAACCGTTCAGAATCAAAAGGGATAATAAGGCCATGTTTAGTTAACGAATTTTGGGAATTTGGGTTACTGTAGCACTTTCGTTTTTATTTGGCAATTAGTGTTCAATCATGAACTAATTAGGCTCAAAACGTTCGTCTCGCGATTTCCAACCAAACTGTGCAATTAGTTTTTTTTCGTCTACATTTAATACTCCATGCACGTATCGCAAGATTCGATGTGATGGCTACTGTAGCATTTTTTGGGAAAAGTTTTTAGAAACTAAACGAGGCCTAATTGACAAATTTTTTGCAGTTTTTTTTCAAAAAACAAAAAAATGTAAGAACACACTTTCGGTCTTTGGTGCCTCTCCTGGTGCCCGGCCCAACCGGCAAAACCCCACGTATTGGCACATTGTGCTCCCAACAAAGCCGAACGAATTATAATTGCCCGACCGACGACCGAGGAACGAAACCACTCTTTTGGTGCCGTCGCACGGCGCAGAGACAAGCCGCCAATTCTTTATGGGGCGCTGCTTCAGTACCGGTTCTTGGCATCTTCTCGCACAACACAAAAGGGACACTGGCAGGGCTGGATTATGGGGTCATTAATTAGTTAAGATCTAGTTTTGGTGCATGCAAATGTGGGCAGAAAGCAACATAGGGAGGCCCATCTCTTTTGTAGAATTGGGGGCAGCCTTTTCCCCCTTACAAAAACCCCGGCCTGTGTCCTCTTCATCCGCTCCTCCTCTTCCTCGCATCTCTGCCTCTTTCACTCAACGTGTACTGCAACTACTTTACTCACTTTGCACTTAATAAATAACTATACATATCATTTCTTGAAGAGCTATTTCTTTAAAAATTTATGGATTTTTTATAAAAATAATGTTAATATTTATATAAAATTTGCTACGATTAATCTATTGTTATTATTTATTATATATCATAAATATTAGTATTTTTATTATATATTTGGTTAACTTAAAATAGTAATTAATTGAAAAGTGACATATGTGATTATTCATGAAGAGGGAACATGTTAGGGTTTGCTTGATTGTACTGCTCCATCGTACCTTGTATGAGTGGAGTTATATAAAGCAGTCTAAGCAGTGTGTTTGGTCGGTTGCATGTCCTTGCGATTCTTGCATGAGCTAATACAATTGCATTTGTGGATGTAGGCTGGCGGGATACACTTATATTAAGCTTCACTCCCAGACCTGGCTCAGTGGATGCTTGATGAGGGTGGCGAAGCGATACACGTGTTGTATCCACTCATGCAGGTAACCAAACATTATCTATTTTTTCATCCGCTCACGCAACCACACCAAACACTTTCTTTTCTGAAATATGGTTTCTCCTTCGACCGTCGCCATCCTTCCTTCTCTGATGGGATCTTGCCTCCTCCCTCCCTCCGCCGACGGCCGTTCCTCCGACTAGATCGTGTCTCCTCTCTCCACCGACAACAGATACTCCGACAGGATCTCGCCTCCTTATCTCACCGGCGGCTGACAAGGACCTCGGTGCTCTGGTGCTCCTCTTCCGCACCCCTATCTTCCAGGTGATGGAAACATCATCTCACCACAACTATCCGCCAATAGGCAAAACCTCGGTATCTCCTACATTTGAATGGGAGAAGTGTGTGATTTAAGTAATAATTACCAAGAAAAATTAGGTATTGGTAATAGGATAAATAATCTATTGGTTTCTTAATGATCTCTCATATTGCATATTTTTGGACTAAAGATGGTTTGAGGGATCTGTTGGAGATGCTCCTCTAAACTCCTTACAATAACCAAACACATTTTTAGGGGAGAAATATTAATTTGCCACTAAGAAATAGGTTAACAATGACTAAATATTTTTTCCTCACAGTTATACCATTTATCAGTGACAAGATATTATACCGCCACATGGTTCAAGGTTATTGAGAAAATGTTACGATGAAATTATATTTTGCCACTATTTATCATATTAATTGTGACAAAACAATTATATTGCATATTTTTAGATTCAAGATTATTTAAGTAATCTGCTCGAGATGCTTCTCTAAACTTCTTACAATAACCAAATACATTCTTAATGGCACTAGAAGCATGTGTTTGTGCTACCAGAGGGAGACGGGGAGAGAATAAGAAGTGTGAGCCACGTGCCATGATTTCACACAGGTCAGGAGGTTCAGTGAGGCAGGCAGCGTCAGGCAGTAGCTAGTCCCTCCTCCCATCCCATCTCATCCCGTGCTAGACTCTGCCCCCCGAAACACTTCCCCATAGATTCCATCCCCTCTCTATCATCCTCGGCATCCGCCCCCCTTTGCCCTTGTTAATTCCAAAGGTTTCTGCAGGGATAACATTTGTGGCCTGTGGGGGTGAGCCCTATAGAATCCTGCCCTCCTTTTCATGTTGCTTTCCCTTTCCTCCT